ACAGGAGGTTTCAGAACGGGATGGAGTGGTTGGCAGGTGGAGACATGGTTTTCTGAACGGGATGGAAGCGGTGGCAGGTGGAGACAGGAGGTTTTCTGAATGGGATGGAGCGTGCAGGTGGAGACAGGTGGAGACAAGGTTTTCTGAACGGGATGGAGTGGTGGCAGTGAGACAGGAGGTTTTCTGAACGGGATGGAGCGGTGGCAGGTGGAGACAGGAGGTTTTCTGAACGGAGAGCGGGGCAGGTGGAGAAAGTTGGTGGAATGGTGAGTGGACAGTGGACAGGTTTTTCTGAGGAACGTGGATGGAGGATTTCTCGGTGGCAGGTGGAGAACAGGAGGTTTTCTGAACGGGGATGGAAGTGGTGGCAGGGTGGAGACAGGAGGTTTTCAGAACGGGGAGGAGCGGTGGCAGTGAGACCCAGGTGGTTTCAAACGGAGGAGGAGCGGTGCAGGTGGAGACAGGTTTTCTGAACGGGGAGGAGTGGTGCAGTGGAGAAAGGAGGTTTTTCGAACGGATGGAGTGGTGGCAGTGGAGACAGGTGGTTTATCTTGAACGGGATGAGAGGTGGTGGCAGGTGGAGACAGGTGGTTTTCTGACGGATGAGGAACGGGTGGGCAGGTGGAGACAGGTGGTTTTCTAGAACGGGTAGGAGTGGTGTGGCAGTGGAGACAGGTGGTTTTCTGAATGGGGTGAGTGGTGGCAGGTGGAGGACAGGTGTTTTCTGAACGGGCATGAGGGTGGCAGGTGGAAGAAGGTGGTTTTTGAACTTGACAGGTGGGAGTGGAGAGCGTGGTGGCAGGTGGAGACAGGTGGTTTTCTGAAATGGGAGGAGTGGTGGCAGGTGGAGACAGGTGGTTTACTGAACGGGGAGGATGACGGATTGGGCAGGTGGAAGACAGGGTGGTTTTCTGAACGGATGGAGCAGGTGGCAGTGGAAAAGGTGGTTTTCTGAATGGGATGGATGGAGCAGGTGGGAGACAGTGCGTTTCCTGAACGGGATTGGAGCGGGTGCAGTGGGTGATGGAGGTTTTTGCTTCACACGGGGAGGTAGCCGGTGGCAGTAGAAGACGCAAAGGTCGCTTTTTCTGAACGGATGGATGGTGGCAGGTGGAGAAAGGTGGTTTTCTGCAACGCGGAATTAGTGGAAGTGGTGGCAGGTGGCCAGACAGGAGGTTTCCCACTGAACGCAGATGGAGCGGTATTGGCAGGTTGAGACAGAGGAGGTTTTCCTGAACGGGAGATAGCGTGGCAGTGTGGAGACAGTGTGCCCGTCTTTCTGACCACGGGATTAGCGGTGCAGCCGGTGGGGACAGGTGGTTTTTCTGAACGCCGATGAGTGGTGGCACTCTGACAGCAGGTTTTCTGAACGGATGGACCGGGCAGGTTGGAGACAGGAGGTTTTCTGAACGGGGGAGGAGTGGTGGCAGGTGGAGACAGAGGATTTTCTGAACGAGGCAGGTGGAGAGGTGGCAGGTGGAGACAGGAGGTTTTCTGAACGGGGAGGAGTGGTGGCAGGTGGAGACAGGAGGTTTTCTGAACGGGAGAGGCAGGGTGAGCAGTGAACGGAGGAGTGGTGGCAGAACAGGTGGTTTTCTGAACGGGAGGAGTGGTGGCAGGTGGAGACAGGAGGTTTTCTGAACGGGGATGGAGCGGTGGCAGGTGGAGACAGGGAGGTTTTCTTGAACGGGATGGAGTGGGTGGAGAGGTTCTGAACGGATGGAGGTGGCAGGTGGAGACAGGAGGTTTCTGAACGGGAGGAGGTGGCAGTGGAGACAGGAGTTTTCTGAACGGGGAGGAGTGGTGGCAGGTGGAGACAGGAGGTTTTCTGAACGGGGGAGCGGGAGGTGGAGGTTTCTGCTGGAGTGGCAGTGAGAACAGGAGGTTTCTGAACGGGGAGAGTGGTGGCAGGTGAGAGAGTTTTCTGAACGGGGAGGAGTGGTGGCAGGTGGAGACAGGAAGGTTTTCTGATGGACAGTGGAGACAGGAGGATTTTCGAATCGGGAGGAGTGGTGGCAGGTGGAGACAGGAGGTTTTCTGAACGGGGAGGAGCGGTGGCAGGTGGAGACAGGAGGTTTTCTGAAGGGGAGGAGCGGTGGCAGGTGGAGACAGAGGATTTTCTGACGGGGAGGGAGCGGTGGCAGGTGGAGACAGAGGTTTTTCTGAACGGGTGGAGAGCGGTGGCAGGTGGAGACAGGAGGTTTTCTGAACAGGTGGCAGGTGGAGACATTTCTGAACGTGGCAGGTGGACAGGAGGTTTCTTGAACGGGGAGGAGTGGTGGCAGGTGGAGGACAGGAGGTTTTCTGAGCGGTGGCAGGTGGAGACAGGAGGTTTTTCTGAACGGGGAGGAGCGGTGGCAGGTGGAGACAGGAGGTTTCTGAACGGGGAGAGTGTGCAGGTGGAGACAGGAGGTTTTCTGAACGGGGAGGAGCGGTGGCAGGTGGAGACAGGAGGTTTTCTTGAACGGGGAGGAGCGGTGGCAGGTGGAGACAGGAGGTT